GGCAAAATGTACAGGGGGGTGGCAAAAGTAGGTTTTCAGTTGTTGGTATGGAAAATAATGCAATAATTAATACATAATAATAGAAGAATAAACTGTTTTATGTACTAGCAACTGTAAACCTACTTTTGCCCCACCTTGTATCTTGTCTATAGACATGTAAATAAATTCTGCTGGTTAAAGATTCAAGTGAATTCTCCTCCTTCTCTGGAAAAAGCCAGTTTTGTTCCACTAGCAAATTAATTTCAATATTCTAAATTTATAAATGTGTCTGTTACTTATTGTCCTTTTATCTGGTTTTAACATCTTACCCTGGCCTTCATTAATTAATTGTGTTCATTTTGTATGTATATGAAAGTCACTGTTTTCATTTTTTTCTTCAAACTACGAAGTTATGTCCACAAGATTGGTATTATATTTGTCCTTTTACAACAAAAATACAAATGTATTTCTTAGGTTGTATATAATTTAATTTCTAAAATTATGATCTCCCTCTTGTTTTACTGCCCCAGCACAAGCAGATGTGCATAAAATTAGTATTTTGACATAAATTGTCTGAAACATAACTCAAAATTAAAATCAGTATTCTATTGTGAATTTTAAAAAATGTTTTCATGTATTTTGATCTCCATTTCCCTAAGAATTCTGTTGATTGAAGATGCCTGGGAAATAATCTTAGTGGATTATCCCAAAATTAACAGGTCTTTTGCAAAATGCTATGTTAGAAAGATATATATGATGATGATAATATCCTCCATTTGGCGTGATGGGCCTAACATTACAAGGGCTGTGTGTCCAAAGGCAATTGCATTATATGTTTCATACCCCAAAAGTTTTAGATGAGATGTATACCATGATCTGCCTTTACACCACATCCCCTCTGAAGACATTGGAAAATAAAGAGATAGATTTAAAGAAAAATAATAAAGTTATTTATATGTAAATATAAATATACTGACAGTTGTTTCTGAAGCTAGAGATGTAATTACATCCTTCTTCTGTTCCTAAGGAGGCTAATGGAAATAGAAACATATTTTCTATTGCACATTTGGCTCAAACCTACCTCTTAGTAAAGTATAATCTTCAGCAAGTGACTTAAAATATCTGAATCTCGTTATCATTAATACATAGCAATGTCTGCTCAAGTGCTCTGCCACTGGAAAATGTAAGGTAGAAATAGTTTTGGCCCTTCAGGAGTAATTCTAGCGGCTGCATCTGTCTCCGAGGCAAAGCACATTTCTTAGATTCAAGGTGTTGGGAGAGTCATGCTGGCCTTAGTATGATTGTGGGCGGAGCTTTTAGGAAGAAGACCGAACAGTGCTCCTTCTTTCTTCCTCTCCCACAGACTGAAAATTATTTATTTGATTCATTTGTCAATCCGTTCGCTTTCCTTTAGAAATGTGAATCCCTAAATATTTTCAGTAAATAGAATTGTTAGAAAAAGGTGCATATGAAGGTGAAATCATATTCATTTTGGGAAGTTCAGGGGAGGTACTTTAGTGTTTGGATCAAATTTCACTGTTAAATGAATTATTCTTGGAAACTTTTCTCTTAAAAGTCTTAAATTTCTGCCCGACAGGCTAAAGTAAGTATTTCCCAAATACCTGGGTGTGGTTTTGAAGTATCTGTGTTCTAATCCTGTCATGTTCAAAGAAAAAATAGCTCTGCTTCACATGCTAGCTTGCAGGGTCTGAGACTTGATGCTTCTGCTTCCATGTGATCAAGTGTAGTATAAAAGTTACAAGGGGATAAATAATGAGCCAGTGGGAAAATCAGATGTTTATTAGTGTGTTTTTATTTTTATGGGGGTAGGGGTTTGGTAGATGTGGTTTTCCCAGAATAGCAATGACACGCATATTTCAAAACAGCTTATTTCACCAAGCATGTATCTTTTTCAAAGGTTTGCTGTTTTGTTTGTTTATGTTCCTTTTTATTTGGTTGACCATCAGAGATGGACAGATTTGGAGATGAGGGCCTAAGTCATTCACTTAGGGTGGCTCTTATTTGCATATTATAGTAGTCACAAACTAAGAGCTCTCAGAAAAATCATGTTTTACTTGGAAAGCAGTTTTTAAGAAAATTGCATCTGAATGCCTTGAGGTGGAGTATATGCTCCCTGTTTTATACCCAGCTGTCTTATAAAATTATGCTATCTGTCATAGGCATTTGAGTTTTGGGATACTTAGCCCATAAAACCAACAAGATTTTATCATCAGTCTCTTGAGAACTCTGCTGCTTTTCAGCAGATAAAATTTCTAAATAATGATAATAAAATCTTTCCAGAAAACTTCTTCTTTAGGATGGATGTCAAAGCTTTTGGAAAGGCTACAATGTGGAGCCCTTTGATACTGTAGCATCCCACATTTTCACCCTGTATTTCTTTGGAGTACCTGAAAGATGTGAGTGTGGTACAGTGGATGGATGAAACACAAAGAAGGGAAGAGCAGAAATATGTTTAAATTATTTTCTTCCTTTTTTTCTCTTAAACTAATAGAGTTTTAAAATAAATCAAATACATATTTTAATTGATAAACTGAATTTATATTCACCTATTGGAAACAGTACAACATATCTTACATCAGATTACGAAATATGGATGTTTTACTAAAAGACAGGAAGAGTTTTTCCAAGTCTTTAAAGTAAATACATATTCAAAGGATCTTAAGGCATACCATTTATTCATATTCATATCTATTGAAATACTGTACATCCACATACTTCAATAAATAGTTAAAAACCTGACCTCTTTTTAAATCATTTCTGAAATTCAAAAAACAATTTTTATTGAAAAGATTAAATAGGTAACTTTTGGCTGTGTCACAAAGCTAAACACAATGGATAAATTAACAATATTCAATAAATTTGATCAATATAGATGATTGGCTTTGATAAACTTCTCAGAGTTTTCACACATTGGGGTATTTATGTATATATAATTTGTCCTGAATTATCTGGCTAATTTTCTCAGTTCTCCAGTCTACTTTCTAGATATAGTTTAAATGTCATGATGAAGCATTAATTTTTTAGTTAAGTTTTAAATCCTCCAAAAGTAGCTTTAAGTTTGACATTTGCTCTCTCAAATCTTTTAGAGTCCCCCATAATACACAATACTATAATTTGGGTAGCACTTTTCATTATATAATTGCTGCATAATAGGAACTTCATGGTGTAACAGGACTTTTGTTTTGAATAGGATCACTGTAAAACATAATTACACCATTTTTAATTAAACCAAGAATGCAAATGAACTACCCTAATATTCCAGTTCTTCCTCTCTTCCTCCTATTCTTGCTTTCCTTCCTTTCTCCCTTCATTCCTTCCTTCCTCCCTTCCTCCCTCCCATTCTCCATTCCTCCCTTCCTTCCTTCCTTCCTTCCTTCCTTCCTTCCTTCCTTCCTTCCTTCCTCCTTTTTATCCCACTGTCTTTACCTCCTTCACTTTTCTGTCTTTTCCTTTTCTTTCTACTATCCTTTCTCAACTGCTTTTTATTTTTTTCTTTCTTCTTTCTTTGAAAAAGAAATTCAGGGCAACAAAAGGAATCCCACAAATGTAAGTTGTGGAAATATAATGCTGAAATGAATAGCTAGAAAAAAATTATTATACATCAAAAGATAAATCAATTTCATAAAACTGCTATTCTGAAATTGCAACAATCTTGTACAGTCAGGACTGATAAAATGAAGTAATCAGACGTCTCATATGTCCATAAATGTAAAATCATCTACTTGAACATTATATGCAATACATTCACACAAAAAAGCAAATACTGTAGCCTTATTTGAACAATATTGAACTCATAAATACTCATGATTTCACTCTGTCCAGGGGTCTAGGAACTAGGAATGTTGCTGTGATACAGAAAAACATAGTGAATACCTCCTCTATTTAAAAATACCACTCAAGAACGTCTCTTCTAACATAAAGGCAAATACATATAGCTACTGAGCTATGACTGTACTTCTGTCACATTCTATGGTAATAACACCAGACTCCACAAATTTGGAATCATGACAACACTTTGAACTAATTATTTGGTTCATCCATAGTTTATGTCTCGATTTACCTCACATTTACCCTACAAACCTTACAAAGAGGAGGTATTTTTAACTCTAGGAAAGCGGTCACTGTATAATATGCATTCTTGATCTGTTTCTTTCTCCCAAACAATGATACTGATACTGATGGCTAACACTTTTGTGGTAGCACCACTATTTCTAGTAAGTAGATTATTATGGAGTGTGCCACTTTAAAGCTGCAATACAAAAACAAAAACAAAAACAACTTTGTAATTTGCTCCCAAATTCCACAAAGGATATTTTAAAAAATCAAGTCAATAATAATCAAAGTTAGAATGTTGTATGTATTTAAAAGAACATTTTTAATACATCAGTCAAAATAATGTAATAAATTATTAGTGAGTAAATTTAATAGCATCATGCCATGTTATTGCCATTTTGTGAAAACATTGTATATTTATGCCTCCTCATTTAGGATTCATTTTTCTAATTAAAATAGATTTATGGTGTACTTTGGGACTAATTTTACTTGGAAAAAAACACAATTTCCAAGTTATCCCTTTCTGGGAAAAAATATTAGATATCCTAAATATGTATAATTTATATGGAATTTCCTGTATTTATCTTTATTAGTAAGTTTTTGGTGTTTTTATGGCTTTCAAAGGGGACTGACTATTTGCAGAAATCTCTGTTGGTGTAATGAAATTGGTAACTTTATCAAACTTGTAAAATGACTTTCAAGGCTATGGCCTTTTTTTAGTAAAGAATAAAACCATCAAACTATTCCTGTAATATAAACTACTTCTTAAAGTAACAGCATTTTCCTTAAAAAATGTAGTTTTCACTGTGATATAATTTAATACTTATGATAATTTCATAGTTAATATCTTAAGATATTCTCATCACTGGTCTTGTCTTCATTTGATCATGTCATCCTTATACCATGTAAAAAAAGATAAAATATGGCAATATTTTTTTCTTGGCCTTACTTGTTTGGGTTGACATGGCTATAGAGAATTATTACAGAATTTATTACAGAATTAGTTATTTCAGGGATTGATCTGCTGCAGACCAGCATGAAACATTTGTTGTAATATATTTTGAACAATTGTTTTATATAACATGCATCCCAAACTATCAACTGAGTGATGTTTTCAGATGAAAAATATGCAAAATGCTCCAGTCAACAGGAGCACCTTCTCATACCACCTCTCCTGCCACGGAACCAAATTAATTTTGAGTGCTTACCAAGTCTGGTAATATTAGGTGATTGGAATTTGTGTCCTTTCTGAAAAATCATCCTAGCAATTTTGGCTTGGAATGGTGAAAAGAAAAGATGGGTTGCTGGGTAATCTATTGGCTGGACTGTGCTGCCATTTTAAAGGGAATTATTTCCCAAAGTGGATCTAATATTTAGCTACATTGAAATAAATCATATGTCAAAGGTACCTGTATTATGTTAATTAAATTGTTTTTCATCACAAAATTGAGTTATTGTGGGGCAAATTTCACAAACCCCACTGGTAATGAAGAGATTTTTATAGTCCTATAGCTACTTTACTCTTTAGAGATCAGATATGGTTTAACTTTATCATTATAGTTTATTTTTGTTTTCAATTGTAGGGTTTGGCAATATGTTTTTATTAGTCGAAGGCAAAGAGAGAAATACTTCATGAAGGCACACCCATGCTGAACTTACAGGAAAGAGAAGCAGAGCTGCACAGCCAGTTATATTACAAGGCTCATTCCTGAAACCTGAATATCATGCGAGCAGAAAAATCTAGATATGTGTGTGTTTTGAAGAAATGATCTGAAGGCAATACTATTTGCTTTTTTTTTTTATCAAAAGAGAAAAAAATGCATCTTTGTAAATGCGGATTGATTCTTATTGAAACAGGGAAATGAATGCTTGTATTGCAGCCTTAAAGAATCACATATTCACTGCAATATTCGTTTTTGTAAACTACAGCCTGCAACCCAGCAGACCATGACTGAATGCTTTTGAAAAGTTGTAGATTACAAACATGAAATCACAATTAATATCCTCTAAAAGTAATTTCAGAGCCTTCACATCTTAAAAAAAGGACAATGTGTACTGCTTCACAAGGTAATGTAGCTAATCAAAAAAAGAATAGAATTAAAGTATTTACATAATGAGCAATTCTACAGAAGGCGATCATCCCCTTGTAAGCACTGCTGATTATATCCCACGCTGCTTTTAACAAACTGTACCAGATTGGATCCAGCCATCAGCACTTTCAGAGAATTCTTAAGAGCCTTTTATGGGTCTTTAAACTTATTGTAGAATGGCATTCTTCAGGTGGAATATGCTGGTGAAAGAGGACAGTGTCAACACAAGGTACCAGCAGGAGAAAAGAACGTCGGCGCTCCCGGTAATTCCATACTGGGCTGTACTTGGAGCTGGAAAGAAATGGAGAAAGACTAAATCAAAATCTAATTCATGTCTTTCAGGATCTTAACGACAATCAAAAGGCAGCTGTGTACATTGGGGGGAGCCCTGGTATTGGAGTCAGACAGAATTAGGTTCACATCTGTTTCTGCTGTAGGACAATGTGTGACCTATTCGACTAACCTTTCTGAGCCTCATTTTTCTTAAGGAAAAAAACAGAAGTGATATAATCCACTTGGCAGGGCTGCAGTGAGAATTGGAGATGAAGTACATATAATAACACATTGCACTGGGCTGAACTCATGCTAAATACTTACTATTTCACAGCTAACATTATTCCTCTTATATGCATTGTTAATATTTGTAGTAGTGAACAATATTCACTCATGCATGTTTTTCAAAAACATATTTTTATTGAAATAAAATTGACGTATGACATTGTGTAAGTTTAAGATGTACAACAGTGTTGATTTCATATGTTTATATATTGCAATATTATTACCACCATAGTGTTAGCTAACACCTCTATTATATCATATAATTATCATTTCTTTCCTGTGGTTGGAATAATTAAGATCTAGTCTACTAGCAATTTTTAAGGTTATAATATAGTACTGTTGACTATAATTACTATGCCGTGCATTAAGTCTCCAGGACTTAATCTCTTGATGAGTTTCAAGTTTATACCATTAAACAACAATCCCAAATTTCCCCACCCCTAGCCTCTGGTAAACACCAACCTACTCTCTATTTTTATATGTTCAGCTTTCTTAGATTCAACATATAAGTGACATTATACATATATTTGCACATATATTTGTAAATCTTTTTTACTGGTAAAATATTGTACTAAATGCTGGAACAACAAACAAGTTCTCTCTTCCAACAATGTTTTTGGCAGTGAAGAAAGATATTCAAAAATATAATACAACCCTAGAAATATCAGAGTTGCATGTGCAAACTTCAATGGCACAGAAAATTGTGTATTCAAATCTGTCTGTGCAAAGGAGGGATGATTTAACAGAGAATTTTATCATAGAGGATGGTCATTTGGGTAGAGGTTACAATATATTCAAAAGCATGAGGAAAAGAGAGAGCACAACATATATTCTAGGATCTAAAAGTAGATTAGTATTGTTGCACCATGAAAATGGAGGCCTGAAGCAGAGGGAATTAAAACTGGGACTCTAGGCAGATAGAATGATCTTAACTATAAAGAAAAGAGTTTAGCTCTTTATAATAAAGCAAATTTTGAAGAATTTGGAGCTCTTGAATGATATGATTACATTTATTTACACATTAGAAAGATCACTGTTTTCTACATGAGAAGCTCATGTGGTACCTGGCTAACAGACATGTTGAATATTTACTGAGAGATTTCACCCAGAGACTGACCACACTTGGGAGTCTACTGAATGAATTCCACTTCATTTCACAAGAGAATAGTTACCTCTTTGAATGCGAATTAAATTGTGTTCCAGAAATTGAATGTCACAGACATGCTCAGCCTTGCCTGAGACTGATTCTCACTTACCATAATAATTATAACAGCAATAATAAAAGAAACCTCACCAACATACTTTTAACTACTTTTTCTTAATGAAACCTGGATTTCAAGCACTGTTTTCTAATACAAAATAAATAATGTAATAAAAATATATTATTTCACTGCCAAATCCGTAACTCAAACCAGGAAGCAGTTTTAGTCACTGAATTTGAATTACCAGCAGGTAGTTTTAATGGAACTTTCACCAAAGACTATATTTCCACGTTACAAGAAGAATAAATTGCCTTGTTTATACCTCTAAGAAATTAGAGGGGATGACAGATGCATTGGACCCTGCCAGTGGGAAGTTTTCTTCACATTACAATTGTTGGTTCCAGGTGAATGAGATTCAAGGGCTAAGATTACTACTCTTTAGTAAACACAGAGCAAAATCAACTACTTAATGCTTCTATTTGCATCACAAATGAGTCCTAAAGAATAAAAAGATTATGAAGAAAATACATCTTTATCATTGGACAAAGGTTTGATATATAACAAGTCTAATATAAAACCAGAAAACTCCTTAAATTACTTTCTCTTGTTCAAGCTTAGAAAGATGTTGTATTTTTTAAAATATAAATAAATATTTAATTGGTCTGTTGCCTTCTCAATGACAGCTATTTCAGATTATTTTTGCTGTGGTTTTTAAAGAATCTTGAGTGCAATCAAACCAGTATAGCAGTAAAAGACTAATAACAAACAAAGCATATAAAATGATTTCATAAATAAGAAATAAATCTCAAAAACTAAGCATGTATAACAAAGATAAAATTTTATTATCTTGACTAATTAAATAGTGCATTAAGTGGGTAGAATATAAAGGGCCCTCAAAACTCCATATCTATACTTTAAAGTGCATTTTGGGGGCAATCTTTTCTAAATCTCCTCTTCTTCAACAGGCTGAGTAGATTACCCTAGTGTGTCATTAGGTCACTATATATATTTCTTTTTATACAACTGTAACACTGCACTGCTAATATATTTATACATAATCTATTTTACTAGATTGTAAACTCTCCTAGTTCATGTTTTATTTATTTTGATGTTTCCAGACACAAAGTCTGGCAAAGTCTGGTACCTAGTAGATGCTTAACAAATGTCTGTTGAATGAACAATTCAGTTAAATAAATAAATAGGTCAGAATTAAAAGGGGGTATTTTTCTCTTATAAAAGGACTCTCTTCTAAGGCAGTGGTTCTCAACCTTCCTAATGCCACGACTCTTTAATACAGTTCCTCATGTTGTGGTGACCCTCAACCATAAAATTATTTTCGTTGCTACTTCATAACTGTAATTTTGCTACTGTTATGAATCATAATGTAAATATCTGATATGCAGGATGTATTTTCATTGTTACAAATTGAACATAATTAAAGCATAGTGATTAATCACAAAACAATATGTAATTATATACATGTTTTCCGATGGTCTTAGGCGACCCCTGCGGAACCCAAAGGGGTCGCGACCCACAGGTTGAGAACCGCTGTTCTAAGGCAAGCCACTTGCCTACAGGCTAGAGAATCTTCAATACACCTCTTTCAGTCATCCAGCAAATAGGTACTGAACTAGGTACCAGGCACTGTACAAAGTACTGGGAATACAAAGGCTAATATGATAAACATGGTTCTTTTGTTCCTTAATTCCATATATGGCCATACGTACTCTATATTCTCCTTTTTATCATATACCTTCAATGCCATCTTTTCTCCCTACATGCTTTTACCTTCTACCCAGTCTCCTATTGTCTTAGATAAAGGTATATCAATAATATATTTAAAAATTAAATACTACTTTGCAACTAACAGAGTATATATTTGTCCATTGATGTCTCATATTGATGTACTTTTTAGTCTTGTGAATGCAATACTTCTGTTAGTCCTAAAATAAAGTAGGAACCTGTTGCTGCATTGTTAGCATGCAATTACTATAAGAAATGAACTGTAGAATAGCTATTGACAATTAGTAGGCCAAAAAACAGAGTGGAGGTAGTCAACGGAATGTGAGGTCAATTACCTAATGCCAAGTCATCTATCATGATTCATACTCCTTAAGTAGATGTTGAACATCTTTCATGTGCTGGGAATTGAACACAGCTAAAAATTAATACAACTCAATCTCCACTCTAGGAAAGGTTCATTCTAGTTGAATATATAAATAAAAAATCAAATATAGAACATTAGAATATATATAGTGAACAAACATGAGAGGGCTCTCCAAAGAGTCATGGTAGAGGTGAGTAGTCTAGGCAGCAGATACAAATACAATTATTTTTCACAAAATGCAATGATATACACATGCTAGTACATGTATATCTCACTGTAAAAAATGGTGGCATTGGGGTTCATTGACTTGGGGTATCCTATTACTATATAACCTTAGTTCCATTGACGGATATTTATTTTTGTTTGTTTGTTTGTGTGTGTGTGTGTGTGTGTGTGTGTGTGTGTGTGTGACTTGTTGACTCAGTGATTTAGAGCACAAGACCAATAGCACTAAACTTAGGAGTCTCAGTACTATTTGGACTAATTAGATTTGCTTGGCATGTTAAATCCCAATCAGCTACATAAGAAATTATAGGAAATCTTAAGAAATTACAGAAAATAACTGTTAGTTATTAGTAATTAGTTATTAGAAATTAGCTTCAAGACCCAGTTCAAGTATCCTCTCCTTTAAAAGAGAAAACTCTTTATAAAATCCCACTTGCCAAATTAATTTGGCATCATTTTTGATATCTTATTTACATGTCAATCACATCATATTTACATATCAATTTTTTCATTAGACCGAGAATGTCAAGCCAAGATTTATTATATGCATCTTTGTCATTGGTATTGAACACAGAGTCTGATACTTAGTAAATGTTCAATAATATTTATTGAATACTGATAGTCCATTTCCCAAACTATCACCATAAACTTACAAGGAGGTACAATGCCTTGAACACTTTTCCCAGAATAATATTGCTTTTCACCATTCATTGTTTACTTTCTAAGACTTGTACAGAGTCAGAATACCTCCCTTCAGTATTTGAGCAAGAAATAGATCTTGAGGCAGCCTATATAATGGAAGAGCAGGCACCCAACTTTGTACCTCATCCTTATTCAGCAAGAGACTGGGAGTATAGATAAACTTATGGCCCTTAATATACATCTGAATTTCTTAGGAGACATCCAACTGTGCCTTTGGGGTGGTCATATCTTTTGTATGTTCTTTGCCATGTTTTTAGTTGCCTGAGAATATCATACTGCTTCTCATCCTAAGTAAAATTAGGAGGAATAGGACATGTGAGGGTTTTGGTTTCATTCTGAGTGATATGGAAGCCTTAGGAGAAGTTTGAGCAGGGGAGGTTAGCTGAAAGTTTTAAATAATTGCTTGGGTATCTTGTGACCAACTGACTGTACTAGCAGATGCGAGTAGAAGACTATGTTAGCCTGAAACCTTCAGGGGTCTCCACTGACTATTGAGG